GTTACTGAGAAACAACTTTGACAAAGTGACACACAGACAGCTCCGTCAAGCCACCGTGGTCTGCCACGACCTTGACCAGGCTAATCTGTGTGTCAATCAATCACTCTTCGACTACTTTTTCTGCCTCTGCCTTTCACCATCTCTTCTTGTACTCCTCCTGGGCCTACGAGAGTTCTTGTGACTCTAGTATTCGCCTGGGGGAGGTGTGCAGCCCCAGACCCCTTGTAGCAGATTGGGACCAGGGAGCACCACCAAGTACAAAGCCTCGATTATCAAGAGGTACCGGAGAACTCCGCCGGTTCTTCCTCTTGAGAGGGTCAGGCTGCAGGGTCAGGGAAACCGCAGGTGTCTATAAACCTGCAACTCTAGAGTGTAGGGATAGGGTTAGGTCCCTGAAAAGGGTCCCCACTAACCAACCACAGGAACACCCACACGACCTCCACTGCCTCCTCAAGAGGAGACGGGGGTGGGTTTGTAATTCCTGCCCTCCCTTGGGTCAGTGGCGTAGTTCACGTCACCCCACCATCACCTCATGTCCTCATGAGGATAAAAATTAAAGTCACCAATGGGCGACCCTCTTCTTCAAAGAGGGAAGCCCTCCTGCAAGCCCTCTTTGACGCTGAAATAAGGACCTTAAGAATGATAACCGCCCATGACCACTACCTTATCATCTGCCAAGATGAAAAAAACGCAGATCTTTTCGCGCCAAGTTGTAAAGATCTACTAAAAGCCAAAGGCTTTGAACCACAAATGCCCCCATAACTAAAGGCGAAACTAAGAGCTTGTAAAAGAGGCACAAGAAAACATAAAAGAAGAACTGGAGAAACATTTCCAACCCCATCAAATTGGAAATATCTTCATTATGAAGAACCGCAACCTGATGAAAATTCAATTTTCCGACCATCACACGGCTGCTAATGTCCAAGAAAAAGGGTTATAACAGCTTCACTCTTTATTTAGGAAGAGTTCTACACAGTAAGGGGAGCACACGAGCCCATGTCACGGGTCCGGCAACCAACCCAGGGGGGGGGGGGTGGAAGGCTGGTGATATGACCTGAATGATAGGTTAGACGAAGCAGATAAACTCTTCATCTAAGCCCTCGTGGCAAACAACCACGTGGTCTATGTCTAATGGCTTACACAAATCGTGCTTATGTACACGGCAAGTTGCTCGGTCACCTACTCACGCCTCGCCCTCGAGGCGTCTTAGATTGGCCTCAAGGATGACCCAAGTTTGGCTGGTTCTGATATGCTGGTCATCTCGTTCTCGCGTGCGTTATCCTTGGTGCATCTTCGTGGCTGCTAGTTCTTGTCGTCCTTTTCTTCCTGGTCCCTGGTGTAATCCATCCGTCCTTGAAAGTCTCGCTCAGGCCCTCCTTGACTTCGGTCTCGTCTAGACTTCCTCGTAATCCTCGTCCAGGCCTAACTCAGCGGCGTCCTCGTCCACACGTCCTCGTAGATCTCGCCCAGGTCCATCTCGGCTGCATGCTTGTCCACACTCCCTCGTGATCTTTATCTGGATCTACGGTAGGATGCGTCCTCTTTGGCATTTCAGTGTGGCTGGATCTGTGGGCCTCCAGGCAGGTGGCGCACGTCCACAGCATCATGGGGCGACTGGTACCTGCACTAACGAGTTCCTGGTTCTACGGGCAGGCGGCGCCCTCCCATCATGGTGCGACTTAATACCTTCTCTGAGAATCATCCTGGTCCGCAGGCCTATGGCGATCTTCCGGTGACGTCCCATCCACAGCATCCTATGGTGACCGTTTCTGCAGCAGCGTCCTCCTTCGGTGCAGATATCGTCGGTCTAACTGCTATATATAGTCGGGGAACCAGATCATACACATAAGGGCCAAAATAGTAAGAAAAAAAGAAAGGGAACAGAGGAAAGGGGGTATTAAGTGCCACTAGCCAATAATTTATATCAATTTGCAGTTTTTAAAGTTAATGAGCAACTGTCGTCACAAAGAGAAGAAATGTATGTAAAATAAGAAATTGTACATTATGTACTAGTCACTCGTCATGACTGACAAACTTACGGGTAAAAGAGATTCATCTTTACGCCCGTAATTACGACAACAACAAACCCTATTAATGAAAAGGCTTCAGTGTCTTTTGTTCTGCCTGGATGAGTGAGTAAGTGAGTGTTGTGGGTGTGTGTGAGAGAGAGCGACAACGAGCTTGACTGAGAATGAAAGGGAGAGTGACCTCACACTGAGCGGTAATGCATGACAAACATGAAGATTAACATTCGCTTTGACAATACTGTGATAAATTAGCAATGCTATTAATACAAAATCATTTCAACTTCCACATTGAATTCAACATTTTATGATATATGCCAGAATGTACACACTAATGAATGGTGACATTGAAAAATATTCGCATGCTTTCTTGCAAGCAAATCCTATCGGGGTAAAAAAATCGGAACTGCAGGGGTAACCATGTCTAGCTATGCATTTTAGACTTCATCGCCGAGGGTCTCCTATGCCCAAAAAACGTACTAAATGAAGCGGGCGAACAAGGAAAATGTATTAACCCATTCCCGCCGGGCATACCATGCCATGGCCACTGTGAGATTACTTGTTGGATTGTTTTTACACATAGATGGCTACACTTGTACTAAATCACCAATGAGCCAGTTACGAGTACCGCCTGTCTCGCCCGTTCACCCTTTTCTTTAATTTACAAAATATTTTACGTTATCTTATTTTGCTGTTACTAATCTTAAAAAACATTTTAAAAATTATAATGTTTATAATAAAAATAACACCATCGATATTCTTGGCTCTAGTGAAAAATACGGATTCAAATCAGGCATTAACAGAGCCATCTATGGGCAGACTATTCACAAAAAAATATAGAAAATAGGCTCAGCATTTTCCCCATTTTTTGTTCATATTCCCCGGCGGCAATGGGTTAATAACCCAATTTATCCTGCGAATCTGTGATGGGCGCTCGTGACATGCCCTATAGATATCTATCTATCATGAATCACACGATTGCTTGGGATTTACCCAAAACATGCAAGCGACTTCGAGAGGGTGAGACGAGTGTGATTAATAAGCGAATAACGTGTCTAGCTTAAACCTTAGTACTACATTAATTAACGGACGTAACTGCGGGTCACACTGACTCAAAAGTTACCGATCAAACGAATAACCTGTACCTACTATCGTAACGTCGGAGCGTAGATCTATTAGGCGATTCACGCAACCCCGGGTTATATCAGGTATCCCTGTGCACTATATGGGGAAGATCATAACGCTATGCTCAAAATAATAAATTCATTAAATAAATGCGTTACAAGCTCCGCCCTAGCGGCGATAGAACGTGTCACCAATGAGCAATGTAACGATGCTACGGCTATCCCCATGGTGTCAACAACAACAACCAAATTAATGAGAACAACGAGCGGTCATTTCTTGCCATCTCACGTGTCGACCGACCGGAAGAAAGAGAAAGCGAGGTCAGGTCAAGATGGGAAACTCTCTGTGAGAATAGAAATATATGATATGATGTTCATGAAAAAGATAAAATTACGAACGCGTTAAATTCGTTGTAGATGAACAAATATAAATCTCTAATAACGAGATAAATCAATTAAATACTAAATGAATAAATTATATTCATGTTTGTTGATCACATGCCGTGATCAGACAGTAATTTTAACCAACAAAACCATCGCGAGAGTGACTGCACATACAGCTTAACACAATTATGGGAAAAGAAGGGAGAGGAGAGAAAAAAAGGCCCAAAACGTGTTCTCACGTGGTTTTGAAGCCATGGTCGATCGTGGAAGCGATGGGTCGAGCGGATTTCCGAGACTGTCCGTGTTGCGAGCCAAAAGGAGGAAACGACCTGCCACCAATCTAAGAGGTACAGTGTAAGAGGCTGATAGAGCGCTTAATACATTTTGTTATGCCTAGTTGGGCAGCCTCCGGGCTAGTACAGTGGTAACGTGTCGGCCTCTCATCCGAGGGGTCGGCGGTTCGCGAGTCAGCACCAGCTGACACACTGTTAGCGAGTCGACATTAGGCGGCACAGGCCGGGCTCGCCCATAGCCCGGGCGAGGCTCAGCTTCGCATATCGGACTTATCCTTATCCTTAAGGTGGCCATACACGTTCAAAAAAAGCGTCAAATTTTTGTATCAAAATTTTGATGCAAAATTTTGATGCATAATTGTCCACACACGTTTAGGCGTTTTTCCCATCAATATTCAGTATTGTCAAAATCTTCGACATGGATGCATCAGTGGCCATAGCACTAGTGTTCGCACTGGAATCTGATAAACCTCCTGGTAAACGTCGGAAATGGTCAAAAGACATGTTTTTAAAACGGGAAACCTACGGACACGTCAACCTCCTCCAAGAATTACGTATTTAACGAACCAGAGGACTTCCATAACTTCCTTCGAATGGATAACTTCATTCGAAGTTCATTGCGAAAATTTGTTCGCAGATTATTTATTTTTTTCTTCAGATCTTCTAATGTGGTGGAAGTAAAATGCTCACGATATTTCTGCAGTAGAATGTCATAGGCTTCGGCTTTCTTAGCACGATTGCTATAATCATCCGACTTAATTCTCCACAAGGCTGGCAAGGCCTGATACACTCCTAAAACTTCAATCAAAAACTTCTTTTCGGCCTCCTTCTTCACAGACATCTCCTCGTCAGTCACCTGCGAACTAAAAAGTTTGATCAAAATTTTGACAGGAGCCCACACACGCATAAAAAAATTTGACGACTCGTCAAAAAATATCAAACGGATTTGATCAATCAAAATTTTGCTTCAAATCTTTTTTTGACATCAAAACGTCCTACACACACTCAAATTTTGCATCAAAATTTTGCATCAAAATTTTGACGCTTTTTTTGAACGTGTATGGGCCCCTTTAGTTGGGCAGTGATAGTGGTTGTAACGACTTGACTTGATTTTATTTAGGAGCCCATGTCCATGTCCTAGAGTACGCGCTGAATGTATTATCGCGGTCCGCCAA